AACAAGGCGATGCAGCTGAACAAGCGCAGGCAACGGCCGACAAATACAACCAAACGGCGAAGAATTATCACAGTATTTTTGGCGGAGGTGGTATCGGTAATAAGCTCTAAAGTTGAGCTTCAGATGATCATCGATGTCCACCATATCAGGCCTGTAGCCAAACTCGGAACGGTCATGTATACGCTCAGACACTACAAGAAACTGATTAGACCCCTTGAATTTCTGCTTAGCTGAAAGTATATCGAACTGCAACAGTGCTAATGCTTCCCAGCCCTCGGCAAACGATCTCAAAGTCACTTGTCTTCCTATACTGTATCTCAAAAGAATAATCCATCAATTGTAAAGCCCACTTATGTAATCTCTTTGCTGCTATTACTGGAATTCCACTCTTCCTTGGCCTTTTGCTCCCAATCGCTTATCTGGTTTACCAAACATCCGAGTCCTGTTCTCAACCCTAAGTCTGCTGACATCTCTCTTATCTATTTCCCATTTACCCCTTTGCTGGTCTTTCTGGCTTAGGCTTAAATTTCTCCGTTCCTTACTTACTTTCGCTATAACCAACACCATTTCATTCCTACGCCCTATACCAGACGCGTTTGCTACTACCCCCTCAAATGCTTCCGCGTGTTCTAATGGTTCTTTTGCCGATAGCTCTTCATTTTCTAACAGCTTCTGCCTAGTCTCCACTGACCCCAAACCACTCACAAATACCATGGTAACTACCATCTCTCGCACGTCCTTAACCGACTCAATTCCGCAAGTAGCTGCAGCTTGCTGTATCGTGGTATAGAATTCTACCAAAGACTGTTCTGGACGTTGCGTAATAGACATCATTTTGTACCGTTCTGCCATCTTAAGTTTTTTCGGAGCATAATACCTTTGCAGTGTACTTATTAATGTCACATATTCTACGTCCTCAGGGGCCTTTCCTTCTAACAACCCCCCAGGACCTCACAGTTGTACTCCCCTACCTCCTGTAAAAATATCAACCGCTTTTCTACCTCATCTGTAATCTTCCTTAACTTCAAAAAATTTTCAAATAATCTTTTCCAAATTCGCTGGAGTATAATTCCCGGGAGGTTTACTCTTATATAGTCACTTACGACTAGGGCTCCCAACCCTGGTGATTTTACCGGCGGCGTCGCTGTCTTCTTCTCCATCCGCGCTTGTTCACTTTACCAATCTGATCGGCACTGCAGTATTCCTATATCACCAGCGAACATCAACCCACACAACCGATGAACAACCGGCTACTCCAAAAAACCGTCTATTTCCACCAAAAATGAACACACAAAGAATGTCCCAAATCACGGGTATTTATAGAAACAATTTATACAAATTCTCACTTACTTTATTCAAAATTATTTATTCAAATTTAAATTTATAATATCACAAATACTTGCGGTGAATCCCTCGTAGTCTTAAAGCATTGCAAGCACCTTGTCTATAAACGTGTACTGTCGAAATCATTAATAGTTTCGTATAACAGTCCTTCATTATGTACATTAATAATTTTTGAAACTGTTTGAGCTGTGAGCACAAACTTTCGAATTGTTCATGGACGTACCTATGAAACAACAGTCCATTGATTTATTCAACTATTTAAGCTGACTCTGATATTTATTCAAACATTTATTCAAATCAATAAAAAAATTATTTATTCAAATAATCCACGTTTAAATATTTATTCAAATACACAATTGAACGAATACAATTCAAAAAAAAGAATACAATTCAAAAAAAACAAGTAAACAGATCACACGTTGGTACTTTTCCATGCCTGTAATAACCGTCTGTTACGAAATGCGCAACGATGGATTCTGCACGAAACAAAAATTCAGAAACAAAATGTCAAAAATTCCAAAACCAAGGCCCGAGGTCTGGCGCGCAGTGGGAAAGCACGATCCACTACCACTATGCCATGACGCACTCAACAGTGTTATTTGCTATGAAATAGACAAACATGCATCCGAAAAAAATTGCCAGCCTT